ACTGTAAAAAGCAAACGCTTTTCAGTTATGAACTCAGGCTTTCTCTTCTGTAGATTTTGGCAACAGGCAGCCTCTGAGTGACTCCTGCAGCGGCAAAGTCACTTTAAAACTAGACCCTGTTCCTAGCCATTCTCAGCCAATGAACAGAAGGGAACTAGAAGGCAAAAGAGTTTTCAGCATTTATGCTTCCCCTTCTCTTGCTTGTGCACAATCTGGAAGGAAGAGGTCATGCAAACTGGGGGCAGGGGAGGAAAGAGGAAGTCTGAAAACTGAGGTAGTCATGGGGGAGGGGAACTCACCACCTGTTTATAAACATAAACAGATATGCCATGTGGTACAGAGCAAATATCAGGAAAATTAAATTCTCCTTCTGATATAGGCAACAGCATTCTTTTAAGTGATACACAACATGGAGAAATACCCTGAATAAACTTCCAAAATAATTCATTACACTTTTGAAAATAGGCTTGGGAAATGTGTACACCAATCAAAACACAGCATTTGTGCAGTACATGTATTTACCTCATTCAGAATACTAAATTTAAGTAGTGACCATCTTTACAAATCAATGGAGATGTTGCTATTAACCTATTTAAATTTAATTTAATAATCTGACAAGTATCTGCAGGAACAAAGATCGCTAAATACATTAGAATCTTTGGGACCAGCAAAAACACCAGTTAGCATAGAAAGCAGGCAATTAATTGCCCACTGGCATTAATTCGTATTTTAACCTTTTTCTCGTATATCCAGAAATTCTACTAAATTTTATCAGTTAATCTCATTAATCCCAAAATGGATGGGTACATGCTAACAAATAGTAGCAAATCATCTGAATACAAACCTAATTTAAATTCCACTTGCTCATGCACAAAACCATAGATCTTCCTGTTCTGTCTAACTGCACGTGCCAACATTTCCAAACCATAGATCAAATATCAGTGGAGGAAGAGGGCAGTTTATCTTGTACCTTTCTCTATTATCAAACACATCTGAAAGGATTCCATTTACGCTTACTTGCAACTTAGAAGAGTAGCACAATATTCAAATCCACTTTATAACATCATGAGGAAATTCAAAATTTTCCGAAGCAACATAAATGGTGTCTTATTTATGGCCCATCAGCTTTGAGTATTCAGCATCCCCTTAACAGCTGGAAATAATAATTGGATCATCATAAAATACCAAACCAGTTGCTACTGTTTATAAATGTTTATTTGAAGTGTATAAAGTAGAAGATCAGAAACTTATGGAACAATGGAACCATGAATTAGAGTGTGCCATGCAAGCTAAACAATGGAAAATTGCTTTAGAATCTATACAGAATGTTTCTTTAGATTTAAAATTGAGATTGAGTCAACAAAAAAATTGCATTTTGGGTATACTAGACTCCACATCAGATAGATGCTGGAGGTGCAATGTTGGAAATGCCTTATTGAGACATATGATGTGGACTTGTCCAGTGATACATCCTTCTTGGTTTGAAGTTGCTGTTCATATTAAACGTGTACTGGAGAAATCATTGATATTTGTGTGTGTTCATGTACTTTTAAATTATATTCCTGTACATGGAGACTAAAAGCAGGACAACAGAAGCAGACTTTATTGGTGCTTGTGGTTGCTAAGAGACTTACACTTCATATTTATCTTCGAAGGATAAATATTCACCATCTATTATGCAATTGTTTGAAGGCCTTAATGCCCTTGCTACATTTGAATCTACTTTCTATAAACACCAACTTTGTTTGGGTACATACTCAGACATTTGGAGGGCATATATCATTATGTATGTGTAAATTCAGATGGATGTACTGATGTTTATTGTTCTGTGAAAGTGAGCTGACGATTTTGCTTTTCTTACTGCCCTCTTTGTGTTCTTTTCTCCTTTAATAAATTCGCAAAAATAACAGTTATATATGTGTGTGTATAAAAAGGCACTAAAGCTGAGCAATGAGAAACAGAATGTGATTATTATAACATACCTCTCATGTGAGCAGGAACAACATTAATCTCTCCCTGTCTTTGAAACATAAGCAAAGTTAAATGTAAAGCTTGAGAAGTCTGCTGCCCAATTTTTTGCTGAACATATTTCTGGAGGCGGTTGTGGTGTACCCACTGTTCCTGCGCTATAAATTATAGCAGCTGGAGTCTGTGGGCATCAGTACAGCATTGCTAAATCTACTCCCTTCTGTGCAATTAGCAGTTCCCCTTAAAGTCTGAGGACATTTATAGGACTTAGGAACACAGATAATGTGCTTCAACACTGCACATGGCCCAAAGGAAGACGCAACTTTTGCTAAGGTGTGGCTTAATCGTCTTTTCCCACGTGACAACAAATTGGGGGCAGAGGGAGAGCAAGCGAGCAGCTGAGTAGCACAGCACCTGCTTTGCAAGTTGAAGATCCAGCAGTCGATTCCTGGCATCACCAGTTAAAAGGATCAGGTTGCAGGGGATGGGGAAAGACCCTATTGGAGACCCTGTAGAACTGTTGCCAGTTAGAGTACAGTATTAGGAAGCTGCCTTCTACTGAGTCTCATTGTCAGGGAACTGCCATCAGTACTGGAGGGGGAGAGCAAAAGCCAGAGGGATTCTAGAGAGTGTCCCGGGATTGGGAGAGGCAGCCCATCTTCTGGGGAAGAGAATCAGCGTAGCACCAGTGGAGAAGGGGGGCAGCTGGGGGAAGTGGCGAGGCGGTCTCATGTCTCCTTGCCTGGGACCAGCGGGGAGAGTAGGGGTCCTCCATTGCCCACGCCCTCCCTGCGCAGAAGGCTTCCGCGCAGAGAGGGTAGGCGGAGACTAGGCGTCAAAGAACTTCTTTGCTGGAAGAAGTTTAAGAAACGCCTACTCACGGATTCTGCCAGCGATTGAGTCAGCCACGGGTGAGTGGCTGTCCGGACAGAAAGAGGTTCACTTTGGCAACCCAGCCAGGTGTTTGCACCCAGCTGGGGGGATAGGTACCTGCTTACGCACGAGCAACCCCTAGAACCATTACACTCATCATTGGTACATCTAATTCAGTACTGTCAACACTGATGGGCAGCATCTCTCTGGGGTTTCAGACAGGTCTCTCCCAGCCCTACCTGAAGCTGCTGAGGAGGATTAAACCTGAAACTTCTGCATGCAAGGCTTGACCACTCAGTTATGGCCCTTCCCAAACTAGCTAGAGCAGAGTGGAAAATACTGAATGAAATGGACAAATAACTTAATTTTGTATAAGGGAGCTTCCAGTGTTCCTTAGACATGTAAAGAACACCATTCTGCCATCATTAACTTTAGGCGGGTAAGAGTCTGCAAATATTCTCTTACTCTCACCAGGACAGGGAAAATTTCAACTAGGAAAAAGGTGTGAGCTGCTGGATGCTGTGCCAGCTCACCTTGTATAAAGATCCTACTTCGACAAAGCTACAGTTAGCTTAACCTTGAGCAGCCTAGATATTTATAATTAAAGGCCATATGATGCAAATTAAAAGACTAAATTATGCAAATGCATGCTTTTCCTAACTGTACAGTTCTGTAAAGCAGCCAGAATTAATAGAATTTGTGACTCGTGTTTACACAAGTGTTGAACTGAAACAGCACATTCAAACAGAAAGATTATTATAAAGTGAAGATTTGCATTCATGTTTTTACAAGATCCAGTCACTCACACTTTTAAGACATCCTATGCACTGAAGCATAGAAAATTATCTGCCAACAAAACTACAATTCTCTAGTAAGAAAGCCAAATTCAGTACTTCAGCAAATCAGCACAACACATACTTGGCCTGCATATCCTTGCTCTGTACATATTACAGTGGAACCTGCCATTTTAATTTTTCTTTTTATCAAGGTACACCACCACTGTCAACCCCAAAGAGTAATGTTTTGAGAAGAGGAAAGCTTTGAGTGGTTATGTAATACATAAAAGTACACAGCCACCTTGTACTGAGTCGGATCACTGACCATTCCAGCCCAGTAACATCTACAGTACTCTGAATAGTAGCAGTTTTCCATGGGAACATAGGGAGCTTTCACCAAATCAGACCATTGGTTCATCTAGCTCAGTATTTTCCGCACTGGGCAGCAGTGACTCTCCAGGGTTTCAGACACTGGGCATTCCCAAGCTCTGCCTGGAGATGCCAGAGATTGAAGCTGTGACCTTCTGCATGCAAAGCAGATGCTCTTCCACTAAGATGGGGAAACGCATCAGCTTTGCATGCAGAAGGTTCCCGGTTTAACCCCCGGCATCTCCAGGTCAGGCTGACAGACTCCGTTATGAAACTCAGGAGATATGCTGCTGCTGGAGAAATGCTGCAATGTGGACAAAACTGAGCTAGATGGCCCAACAGTCTGACTCAGCAGCTTCATTTTCACTCGCTCAGGTTTTGGCTTACTTGGTTTGCATGCAGAAGGTCTCCGCTTCAGTCCCTGGCACCTCCTTAAAAGGATCTCAAGCAGCAGGTGGTGGGAAAGGTTCTCTGCTGGAGAGCAGATGCTACCCAGAGAAGACAATACTGATCTGACCTTGTATTTTCTAGGCCTGCTACCATTTTACTGGAAATGCAAGGAATTGAACCCAGGAGCTTAGGCAGGTATTCCACTACTAAACCACATTAGTTCCAGAAGCTAAAGAAACACCTCAAAGTACATTCCACTTCTTGAAGCAGAGTTAAAGAAAAGTGACATGAAGGCTTCAAGGGAGCCAATTGCGCAGACTTCACAAGTTCCCCTAAAGCCTTTTTCAAAGCACAGTGTACTTGCTTCCAAATTGGAGGGGCAGGCGCTAGATTCTTCCTCTTCTCTAATAGTAGTCTGAGATTCCTGTGATAAGGCAACTACAGTCTGAGCATGGGATTCTGAAAGGCTAAGAGTCCTACTTACTATTGCACTGCTGCTCAAGGTAAGGCCCCCACTCAACAAGACTATCCTTCTCTCACCTTTTAAAAACAAGCTTGACAACTGTGCCTATGTAAATGTGGAAGTTGAGAAAGGGCAGAAAGTGCACACCTTCTCTGATCAGGGGAAAGGACTGTAGCTCTGTGGCAGAGCACATGCATTGCATTCAAACGGTTCCAGGTTCAATCCCTGGCATTTCCAGATAGGGCTGGGGGACTCTTTTCTGTAGCCCTGGAGAGGTGTGAACAATACTGAGCTAGATGAACCAATAGAATGACTCAGCTTTCTACCTTCCTATCAGATGTGAGGAACTATTCCAGAATTGACAAGAAAAGAAACTTTGTAGGAAAAGGTGTACAGGTCAGCGAGCAGCTTGTGCTCAATGGGAGACGGGGTGGGGGGGGGAGAAGTGTTCTAGTGTGCATTTCTTGTGTAAGTCACCTGCCAATCCATGATCAGCACCGGACCTGAAGAGGTGTTGTACCTGCATTAGCTGCCATCCTCTGTGCAGATGGGAAATGTTAGGTCTCAGTTGCCCTGGAGGCCCAAATCTCAGAGCAGCAGTCACTCTCACTGGATAAACATTAACTCTGCTGAGGCCTCTCTGTCCCGGTCTGTCACAGGCAGAGAGCACAGGCTGTTCTAAGCTTCCTGGAACCCTTTCAAACCAACCGTCCAAATTAAAGTGAGCCTAGGGAAGAAGGTAGCCAGGACACTCCAAAGCAATCACATGCAACAAGCACCCAAAGATTTGAGGGCAGAGGAAGAACAGGGAGCGAGTTTGTCAGAGCAGCTGCATTTTCCATTGTTGTGTTAGGTGGTGGTGGTGGTGGTGGTGTGCGTATGGGAGTTTAATGCTAACTACATCAGACGCTAAGCCAACGAGTGATGCTGTCCAGCCTGGCTTAGGGATAAGATGGCAGAAACATCAAAGTCCTAGAAGGAAAAACTGAGTCCCATGCTAGGTAATGAGGCCTTTGCACAAACCTCTGTTATACCTGTTATGGCAGCACATTCCCCATAAGCATGAAAAATTAAAAAGCAGTGCCTTCGTCAATATTCCTCAATAACTAAGCATCTTCCTCAGTATCAACCATCAGTATTGTACCCTACAACAGGCAGGTGAGGAGCCACCACTGGGCTATCAGCACTGACCCATGACATGGCCTTATCAGTGGCAATTTCCTATCTGTGGAGCACCCTCCCCGGTAAACTGTGCCGGTCTCCCTCATTGCTGACTTTCAGGAGAAACTTAAAAACATTTCTGTTTACCCAGGCTGAAAAGCCACTGTTACTAGAAACCCTGACATCACTGGTTGAGAGAATCTTTTATTTTTAGAAGGTTTTTTTTTAAAAAAAAAACCAAACAAAACAAAACTATTTTTAGGCTATTTATATTATTGATGTGTTTGCCGCCCTGTGCTCCTTCAGAAGGAAGGGTGGGATATAAATTGCATTTTTAAAAGGAAGAGAAATGAGTAATAGGCACCAAATTGGGCCACTTTAAAACAGCATCAGACAAATCAATGGAGGGCAAGGCTATGACTGGCTATTAACCATGATGGCTACATAAATATCAGTTGCTGGAGCACAAAAACCTGCTTATGTTTGCAGCCAGGAGAGGTTAAAAGTGAAACAGACAACAAAGCAGCAAAGCCTTCCTGGGCAGGTCAAAGGTTGTGCCCATTCTGCACACTCTGAGGTCTGTTCCTCCTATATGCTCTAGGAACATTCACATGCCCTATCATGCCAGTTGATTTTTTAATTGATGGTTTAGATATGGACACAGTTGCCGTGCTTGTTTTTGTTAAAGATGAAAGAATCTGACAGGAAAGGATGGTCTTCCCTTGTTTTAGGTGGGGTAGAGAAATGTCTCAGGATACAACAATTCATTCCTGGACTGCAGGATCACACAACCCAAAAGCACTAATTCAGGGTGGTGAATTTCCCAGAGTTCTGTTTTTTCCTTAGAAAACTTTCCTTTTTCTAAGTTCATTAGTAACAGTGGATGGGCACCAACTGCAAATAGAGTTTAGCCTGGAAGCTTAAGTTTTTCACTTTGTTTATGATACCCAAGAAAAATAAACACTCTAAACTAGATCACTCTCTTCTGAGACATCAGAAAATTTCCTGATGCAAACTGAAAATTACCCCATGCAAATTTAGGCTAATTTGCGTAAGAACATTTTCCAGGTCAAATATTTCTGGAAAGTCCACATCACTGCTAAGCACAGAAACTTTATTTCATGTAATGCAGGGCCACACAACTTTTTCCTCTGTGGATCTCCATCTTTTCTTCCCTTGACTTCTTCTCTACTCCTCCCAACCCCTCCCCATGCTGTAAAGCTGCTTTTATCCCAACAGCTGTCTCTGGCCTGAGGAACAGTTTTCAGAAGGTATAATGTCTAAACAAGTTTGCTGCTGCCTCAGCATGCTAAGAGCCAAGAATAATCTTAGCCCCACGCCTACCCTGACCTTCCACATTGTCGTCGTCCTCCTCCTCCATGCCTTCACTAGCCCTGCAGGGAACACCTCCCACCACAAAAAACACTTGGTGAGCTATGTGGGCTTCACAGTGAATGAGATTCTGCCGGCATTCCAAAGGAAGGGCTGAGAGACAAAATTCCACAACAATCAGCACGCAGAAAAGAGCCCAGTCCAGGCTACAAGGAGCAAAAGGGTTGCCAGAGTAATTGCTTCTCTCTTGATCCCCCTATAGGGGTGGGGGAGCCCTAAAGGTGTTGCTGAACCACAACTGCCATCTTTCCTGACTACTGACCATGTTGGCTGGGCTGATGGGAGTGAAATCCAACAGTATCTGAAGGGCCTCAGGTTTCACACTCCTACTCCTGCATGAACAGGGTAGGTGGGTGGAATACCCACGCCATGCATGTACAGAAGAGCAAAGGTGTTACACGTGCAGAGCTGAGAAGGCATTTCCCCATCGTTTTCGTGGGAGGAAAGGCAGATGGCATCAAACAGATAAGCTGAGAGAAGTTGGGCACTAAAATGCTTCTAGTCCTTTTGAAACGTGCAGCAGAAAATTTTCCCTAGGAGATTTCACACTCGCATTAGCAATGATGACCAAATGCCAACTGAAAATAAATATGCAAGCTTGGCAGTTTCAAAAGTATTCAGCTTTGTTTACTAAATACAAGTAAAATAAACATTCTAAGTTTGATAACTATTGAGGGCATCTGAAAATTTTCTCATACAAACTAAATTTTCCCCAATACAAATTACCATATGCCAGGGGTGAGGAATCTTTGGTCCACCAGATGTTGTGGACTACAACTCCCTTCAGCCCAGCAAGCATAGCCAATGGCCATGGATGATGAGAGTTGTAGTTCAGCAACATCCAGGACTGGCTCAATATATTTTGGCACCTGAAGTGAACCACAAAATGCTGTTCCATCCTACCATGGCCAGAGAAGAAGGGGTGAATGAAGATCTACATCAGGACCAAAGGGCCAATAAAGATCTACACCAGGCATAGGCAAACTCAGCCCTCCAGATGTTTGGGGACTACAACTCCCATCATCCCTGACAACTGGTCCTGTTAGCTAGGGGTGGTGGGAGTTGTAGTCCCAAAACATCTGGAGGGCTGAGTTTGCCTATGTTTGATCTACACAACGGGGGGAGGAGACCAGCAGTGCCTCCTATTGGTCAAAAGGTCACTGTAGAGGTGGCATGGGGGGCAGATCTGGCTTCCAAGGAGCGCACCACAACTGTTGCTGCTACTGCAGCTGCAGCAGGCAATGCATTCCTTGGAGAACAGATCTGCTGCCCCTGTGGATCCTGACACCTGAGGCAGTTGCCTCACCTTGCCTCATAAGTGGCTTGGCTCTGGAAACATCTGAAGCGACAAATATTCTCCACGCCTGCCCTATGCAAATTAGCCAAATCACTATGAGACTGGACAGGGTCTAACTAATTCATAGCATACAGTGCCAAGGAGGCAAATCTAGAATGTGTTACTGTGGTAATGATTACCCCAATTTGTCCCTCCTGTGTCCTTATCTAACCCTGAAATCAACAAAACAGGCATCCTAGGGTCTGGCTTTCACAGCTGGTGATGCAGCAAACAAACGGAGGAAACCCAACCATTATCAGTTCCACATTTGCAAAATAGGAAGTGCAGTATGCTTTTCATAATTATTTAACACTCACAGATGCAACAACTCATTCATCGAGACCCTTACAGGGAGCATTTTGGTGGATGAGCTTCCCCAGTGCTTCAACAGTCACATGTGGTTTTGCAGGCAAACATTTATCGACAGGCTGGAGCATGATAGGGCAGAGCGATACGGACTCCCCAATTCCTCAGGAGTGTGGAATATAGTGCAGAGAGAAGGATTCCGAATCCTGAGGGGGGCACTACACATATGTGTATGGGACATGATTGTATTTCAGTCATACATACTTTGCATGTAGGAAGTCCCAAGAATCAGCTCCTGGAACCTCCAGTTAAAAGGATGAAGTAAGAGGTGATGGGAAAGACCCTGGAAAGCTGTCACCAGCTAGAAAAGATGTTACTGGGCTAGATGGGCAAATAGTCTGACCTGGAATCTGAGGAAGAAGGGTCATCAAATGTCATTTAGTCAATTCCCCTGAAAATGCAGGAAATGTACTGGAGTAAGACCTGGTATAAGGCTGTTTCCCCATTTCCTATCAGCAGAAAGCTGCCTTCTATTGAATCAGACCGTTTAGCTCAGTATTGTCTACACTGGCAGCCAGAGGCTCTCCAGAATTTCCGGCACAGAATCTTTCCCAGGTCTACTTGGAGATGCTGGGGATTGAAGCTGTATGCAAAGTACAGTGGTACCTCGGGTTAAGTATTTAATTCGTTCCGGAGGTCCATTCTTAACCTGAAACTGTTCTTAACCTGAAGCACCACTTTAGCTAATGGGGCCTCCTGCTGCCGCCGCGCCGCCAGAGCATGATTTCTGTTCTCATCCTGAAGTAAAGTTCTTAACCTGAAGCACTATTTCTGGGTTAGCGGAGTCTGTAACCTGAAGCGTATGTAACCCGAGGTACCACTGTAAATGCTCTTCTGCCCCTTCCCCTAAACACAATGCAGCCTCAGAGGTTGAAATATCATGTGGAATCTCAGTGTGGAAGGAGAGAGGATTTTAATCCTTTCTCCTTGCACCTGCGAATGCACCTGCTACAAGGAGCAAAATCATCTGGAGGGGGGTATT